GCCAACCTGCTACTCCATTCCGTGCCAGTCTCTTCTACCAATAAATGCCTGAAGGCAACCCACTCCACCAGGAAGCCACCTACCCAATGGCACCCAGCTTTCTCTTCCATGGGCTGGTAAGCCTGTTGCTGTTTAATGCCGGTCTCTGGGCTCTGCTCCTGCCGTCTTCATGCTGTATGCCGGAGTCTCTCTGCCCAGGGTCTCAGGTCACACTCTACTCCTGTTTCCACATTTTAGGTGTCTGTCAGAGCAGCACCCCACTCCCAGTACCATATTCTATTTTGGTTACCTAGTGCTGCTCTGACAAGAATATACCACAAATGGGAAGGCCTTAACAAACAGGAGTTTACTCTCTCATAATTTGGAGGCTTTAAGTCCAAGTTCAAAGTGCCAGGCTCTAGGAGCTGAGTAAAAGCCCCTCAACCTTGGGGTCCAGACCTGCCTCCTGCTCCCGATCCACTGGAGCTGGAGGCATTTCTTTACTCAGACAGCTGCTGGCTGCTGAGGCTGACAAACCCAAGGTTGACAAGTAAAAAAAAGGCACAGTCCTGATGTTACCAAACCACACGGCAGGCCATTAATTTAAGTCCATTGTAAGTCCCAAGGTCGGCAGAGCATGGCAGGCTGCTGAACAATGACATGGCTACCTGCAGGGTACAAGCATGCCATAAGCTAGAGACTGTTCCCAAAGCTGCTACTTATATATGGGAAGCAGACCACACACCCAAAGGCAGCTACTCAGCTGCTCACAGTAGATTCCACCATGGAGTTGAGTACCAGTCTCATCATGGGGAATAACTACCACCAGCTGCCCAGCCACTCAACCAGGCCCAGCCAAGTTGACACACAAACATAACCACCACAGTTGCTATGAGTAGGAATTGACTTGATGGCAATGAGTTTGGTTTTGGTTTCGTATAACATGTTTAGCACTGTTAGCTGTACTTGTTACTGCAATGGGAGTATCTTTTTCTTCTGTACTCCATATTGCTGAAGTTCCCTCACAGCAGTGTTCCTTCTGGCAAAGAAATAGTTTATAGGTCTTGGAAACAAGTAGCATAGCTAATAATTTCATTAATGAATAGAATCTGATGTTTCCATTCTTTGTCATGTTTATGCCTTGGCTATCTAATAAAAATTGAAAATTAAATTAAACATTTCACATTTGGGCAGTCTGAAAGACTCATAATAATAAAGCAAGTTTGGAACTTGAATCACCCAGCTTGGTTGTCTACACTAGTCAACCAACTGGATTCACAGCTTTCTACCTCACAGGTGTAGAAGTATCCCAGGTGTTCTCATTGGTTACTTGTTACTTATGTTCTCTCCAGACTTTTAAGTGTGAGGGTGATATGATTACAAGAGATTGCACAGAATGAATTTCTCTATTGCTTTGGTGTACATTTTATATTGTAAAATACTCTACCACAGTCCCTTGCAAGTGCAGAGAGATCAGTTGCATAAGATGTGTCAGTATCTGCATGTGATATGCTGTTGAGTGAATGACTAAACCTCAGAAGTGTAATTGATCAAGGAGAATATTTATTGCAGGAGTGCTGAGCTTTCTACAGCAAATATGCCTCTAAAAGGTTGTATGTAAAACAAATGACTGTAAATTGAATAATTTAAAAGGCATTAGGAGAGCTTATTATTTAAACAAATCCCCTTGTGACTTGTCAAATTTAAGAATCCTTTTGTAATGCAAAATATTTATCTTTTGTGTAAATATCAAGTGTTTACATATTAAATTTGTTTAAATTGAAGTACATACCTGTTACACAGGGAAAAAAAAATAGTAACTGATTCAGGGTCATTACACATGCTATTCCCTCTGCTTCCTGCTTTCTAATTGCTGTACTAAGATTTGGTTACAGGAGTGCTGGAATGATTGGCTTAATGGATTCTCACAGCCTGGGCCCATGGCTGGGCCATCCATTCAAGCGTGGACTTGCCTGTTTATGCTCATTTACTCCAGTACACAATACAAATGTTTTCTATTTGAAAAGATTGGGAAGCACAACTCTAAACTTCATCTGGTAGTATTTTTTATGTTTTATAGTCTCTCATCAATCTCCTTTTTTTTCTTTTTATACCTTGCTCTCCTTACAACACTATTACAAATTCATTATTTATTGCCTGTGTAAACTTCCTTGTTTAGCGTTTGTCTATCTCTTTTACTGAACTCTAAGCGTTGGCAAAGTCCATTTGTCCACCACTGTTTACTCAGTGCCAAGCACAGTGTCTAACACATAATAAATGCTTAATCAATATTGGATGAAGAATGAATCAGTGAGGAAATTAATAAATGGAAGAGCAATACCCAATTCCCATTTCCTGGGAGTCCTTTGGTGATGG